TCTAGTAGAAGTGTATATCAATATACATGTAATTATTTATGTTTTAAATTTCCTTGTATTTATTAAAACTTACTTTGGTTTTTTGTTATTCTTCCTGCATTTTCCAGGGGGGTAAATGGTTTCAAATAATAGGGTAAAACCTATCTTTAAAAATGGCAGAAAAAAATTACAGATCCGATCTTTCAATTATATGATCCAATTCGTTATTCGTTTGATAAGAAAAAAGAGGATTACATTATCACCAAAGGCTGGCTCTCGGTCTCAACTAAATGATGAGGGTAGGGTCACTTTCGAGATTAATTCATTATCGAAATGGTTGCTTCTGTCTGATGCCTATTTCAGATGCGATTTCAAAATCAAAGACGGGACTCCCAAACCAAAACAACCTTAGAAAACAATTTCTTCCCATCTTTATTTACTGAAATGGTTTTGGAAGCTGGTTCAAATCCCATAGAAACCATTAAACAACCTGGGGAATTTGACACACAGTTGAAAACAGTTCTATATCCCAAAAACTACGATTCAGTCTTAGGCTGGATACCCGATGTTGGCGATGGAAGAGTTTTAAAAGAACCGGTAAGAAATGTTCCAAATGATGCAAATGAAGTTAGAATGAGAGCTATTGCTCGAAACACAATAGAAATAGTAGGACGAGCAGGTAATCAGGGGTTTGAAAAACGAGTACTTCAGTACAATAATGATGTTGAGAATAATAGGTTTGGTAATTACGTAAATTGGAAATTATATTCTTTATTCGGTCTGATGGAACACAGAAAAATTTCCATAGGGTTACCATATAAAATTCATCTACAAAGAGAAATCAATGATGATAAGATATTCTTTGGAGGGAATGCTTCAGATGGAAATTAGAAATAATGAATCTTCAACTTTTCATACCCGTAATAACACCATCAATTGAAGTAGAAACGAGAATATTCAACTCGTTACCTAAAGATATTGAAAAAGCTTTTCTTCGTCGTAACACAATAGGTAGCATAACTTTAACTGGAGAATCCACTACATGGCCAATCACTAATACTATTAAACCAGCAAGATATTTAATAGTTGGTTTCAAGAACTTACCAGATTCTCAAACGAATAACAATAATATCTTTAGAGTAGCAATGAACCAAACTCAAGATCCTATAATCCGTAAAGTTCAAGTAAGATTAAACAACGATAATTATCCTAACCAACCTTTAACAATTAATCCATCCACAAAGGATTATAATGAATTGTATAGAAACTATAAAAATATGTGTGAATTATTTGGAAATTCACCTCAGTTTGAATATGTAGATTTTGCAATTAATCACCCAATCTTTTGTTTTGATCAATCAGCTCATCAAGAAGATCTTTTCAAAACAGGGGTGAATATAAATATTCATATTGAAAAAACACAAGTAGATGTAAAAGGTTATTGTTTATTATTGGAAGAAGCAAAACATTTAATTCAAATATCCAACAGACGGTTGGTTCGTATAGAATAATCATTTAAATTACCCTCTTAAAAATGAAACCAGAAACTTTAGTAAAAAGAATAATAGAAGCTATCGAAACGGAATCACCAACTACAATAACTTACAATGGTAAAAGGATTAAAATATCTAAAACAATTATTGATGAATAGAAACATTTTAAAGTCCGTGATGATATAGATTTGGAAAGAATTGACAAGAGGGTAAAGGAAGGTGGATTTTTACCTTTCCTACCTTTGATATTTGCTGGTCTGGCCAGGACAGGAGCAACAGCTGGGGGTGGATGAAATAACACAAGCCATCAACGCCAAGAAAGCAGCTGATGCTGAAAAAAGTGAAAAACGTAGACATAATATGGAAATGGAAAAAATAGCTCAAGGTTCAGGAGTAGCGGATATATTAAGGACAGTTAAAGAATTTAAAAATTGATTTAGTGAAGATACCAATAAAACTGTTAAAGAGGGATGAAGTAATCTAATAGATAAAATCGACACTGGAGAAATGAAGGTGAAACATAAGGGGAATGCCATAGTTTTTAAAAACATACGTTCTGGAGGGGGAATCTTTCTTTCAAAGTATAAAGGAGAAGGAGTGATTTTTGGAACAAAAATAGAGAATAAAAAATGGGCAGAAAATTTAATCATTCAGAAATATTTCCTAGTAACCCTATGCTTATGTGTATTTGTGGAAGCTCAGGTTCTGGGAAAACATATTTAACATTTAAATTTTAGATTTCGATTCATTATATATCTATCTACACAACAACACCAGAGCAATCGTATTATTAATTCCTCAAAGCTTTAGAATATTTACCAAAGAAAGATGTTCAAGACATATTTAAATATGATGAAGACAACGATGAGATAGAAATAAAAGATATTTTAGATACATATATAAAAGAAAAGAATCCATCTTTCAATCCAACAGAAATAAAAGTTTTTCTTACGAAAAATGTTAATGATTTAGATTTGTCTTAAATTGATAGCGAGCGAAAGAACTTAATAGTGTTTGACGACTGTGTAGCACAAAGAAATCAAGTTGTTCAACAAGAATTCTTCACGA